GCCTGTAAGGCCCTGACGCTCGCTGGGTGGGGAATTGGGAGAGCGGAGGGGGAGGTGGCAGCAAGATCTCTGGGCCCTGGAGGAGCACCTTCCGCTGCCCTGTTCTTCGGCTCAGGTCTGGCAGAGATCACAGTGAGGCCGATGGACGCAGGCAATGGTTCTGGTCCTGCTGGCCCTGGTGCCCCTCCCATGCCAGGCCAGCCTCTGTGTTCACAGGGCCTGGGTCTCAGAGCTCACTGGAGTCCTGGGCTCACCTGGCTGATTATGGGCCCCAGAGGTGACCCAGGGTGAGTGTCCTTATGCCGTGGACTCTCTTTCTGGCCTCAGTGACATGCTCAGATCCTGGCCCAGGAGTCTCAGTGAGTGTGCTCAAGGCGTGACCTCCTAAGCTGGGGTGGCAGATCCTCTGAAAGGAGGAAGCCACCCTTCCTAGAGCGGATGCCTGTCCACAGCCCTGTTCCGCACCTGCTATGGTGACGGTGGGTCCAGCCCTCGCCTGCGAGCTCAGCAATGTTCCCGGGACTGGGAGAAGAGGTGGAGTGAGGCTGGAGTGCAGCAGCTACTCGGCTTCCTCTGCAGTGTGGAGCTGCAGGCAGCGGCAGAAACCAGTTAGAGGCTGCCAGGGGACAGGGACAGAGCAGCCCTCTGCTGCATCTGGAGGAGAGCACTGTGCACTGAGATCAGTGCCTACCGAACCTTTGGCTCAGTCTGATTTCCTTCAGCTCGAAGGGAGGTGCAGTAGATTGAGGATGCACTGGGCTGAGACCCGGAGGGACCCCAGGAAGTGACCCATCCTGGTCCCTGGGCAGTGGGGGCCTGGCCTTGCTCAGTGCTGCCCCCTGAGCCCCCCGGACCCTGGTGTGTTCCCCCAAAGCGACATGTCCACACCCTCGTGATACCCGCAAGGGGGACTTATTTAGCGCTTGCAGAGCCGACTCAGGATCTCCGTGTGTCCCCGCTGTGATCTGAGGCTGCCCAGACAGCGTTCTGTGTGTGGACCCCTGGGGTCCAGAGCAGAGTGTGGACACAGGGCCTGGGCCAGGTCAGAGCCCAGTCTGGGCAGTGGGGTCCCCCACACAGCCTCCTGAGCCACCCCTGTGTGGGCCACTGTGGGGCTGGCTGGGCTGGTGCCCTCCTCCAGGTGCTGGGGCTCCAGAGATGGGGAGGCCCCCTCTTGAAGCCCTGGGTGCTGTCCCTGACCCACATGTATCCTCCTGATGCTTCTTTCCCGGGTGTCTGCACAGGGCCCTGTGACCAGCACCCACGTGGTCATTGGCTCTTTCAGGGGTCCTTAGTGCTAATTATAACTGAATTTTGGGCGAGCTGTTTCTTGTCCTCTGGAGGAGTGGAGTGGATGGCACCTCACTGACAGAGGGGGGCCCCTGCCACAATGCCCAGACCCATTCCCAGGGGCCCAAGCACCCTCAGCACCCCAGCACCCTAGGGTGGGGTGGGACAGCCACCTGCCTCTCCCTGCAGTAACCTCTGTCAGCTCGGAGCCTCAGCATCCAGACGCTATGGAGTGGAAGGACATGTAATGGGGAGGCCACCTCAGCTCACCAGGCCTTGGTTCTGCTGCTGACAAAGCTTCCTGTAAAGGGTCCCTGTGTCCCTTCACACCGGGCTTGCTCCCCAGGGGGCTGACTGGCTGCAGGGACACAGCCCTCTGGACCTGCGGCTGGACCACTGTGTGGAGCAGAGAGAAGGTTGGGCCATCTGGGATCAGGGCCACCCCATAGGGCCTCCATCCCTCTGAGAGAGGTGGGGCGTGGCCTGTGGTCTGCTGTAGGAGGTCACTGGGCCTCAAGGTGGGGAGAGCCACAGACTCAGAAACCAAGTTCTCTCCCATGACCTGGGGGACAAGATGTGGGAGCCACAGC